GTGGGGCGCGCGGTGTGGCGGGGGGGGGGGAGAAACACGACAAAAATCCACTAACCCTGGAACCCTAGAAGAATAAATCTGTCCTGAGGCCTTGAACTTCAGTTCTCCCTACACCATGGGACTGGAGCACCAGGGCAGCAAGGTGTTTCAGTTGAGGGCCACAGTGAGGGTTAGGGCTTTTTTCCCCCACTTCTCACTTGTGTGGCCCCGACCCCAAAAAGATTCCCCACTCCTGCCATAAATAAAGATGTGTGTTGGACATAATATTTTACTTTGTTGGCCAAGCTTCATTTTTTAAATAATCTCCCAATTAGGGCCCAGCCCTCATCTGGCCGCAGTGTCATAACACTCCTGTACCCCCCCCCACATACCTGCCCTGAACTCCTCATACCCCCACATCCCCAAACACATGCACCCCCACATCCCCAGTCTTCCGCACCCCCATATCTCTAGTTTCCTGCATCCCCACATTCCCAGTCTTCTGCCATAACACTCCTGCACCCCCCCCCACAACACTGTGCGCTGAGCCCGTCATACACCTGAACCCTCTGCCCTGAGCCCCTCATACATCCCAATACAGACTCCTGCACTCCCACATCCCCGGTTCCCTACCATAGGATTGACAGAAGACAGCCTAAATGCATGCCTAAAGATGGATTTGACCAGTTATGATGTAAACTTCAAATAAATGTGTAATAAGATACAGCAGCAGAAGTTCCATTAAATAAAGTCTGAGTACAACGTTTCAGGGCTGAAGTTCTCTGCCAGCTTCAAAGACATTGACACTGGGTGCTCCTCCCTGGGACATACTGCATTGGCTGGCTCCGAAAAGATGGGTCTTGGAGTCAGACATCTGCTCCTCGCTGGCCTCCAATTCTCCTTCTATGGCGCCAGAGAATGGGGCTGGTTCCAGACAGTTCCCACTGGGGCTATCTGTCTCTGCACCCAGAGTTCTTCCATAGTGCTGCTTCTGCCACAGATGCTGGAGAGCTGCGCACCAACAAACTCAGTGCTGGGTCTTGACACAGCAAGGTGGATTATAATCTCACAGCAGCCTCCATAAGGAGCTGATTTAAATGGAAGTCCTGCTCCTTTTTTGTTCTAGGGTGAAATCTTTTACAAATCCTGCACTTGTTCTCTTAGGGCACTTCCCTCAGACACTTTAGACAAGTATCATGGGTGTCAACAGCTGGCATAGGCTTACTGTAGACCCTGGAGTGCCTGAGCCTTTGGGACTCAGAGATGCCCCACATCTCCATGGGAAGATACTTGGTTGAAGTGGAGGGGAAATCCCCACTCCCAATAGCTAACAGAGATACAACTAATGCTAAACTACACTAACTGAAAGGCTAGGGCAGGGGCGAGGAACCTCAGGCCCGGGGCCAGATGTAGACCCTGGCTTGCCTGGATCCAGACCCCAAGGCTCAGCATTGAAGAGTCCATGCTGATGCTCCAGCCCCCCACCCACAGGGCTGGAGCACACAATCTACTAGCCTGGACCCTCCTACTGTCTTTCCCCTGCTGAGTCAGGGGCTTCTCACTTTGCTTCTCACTTGTGCGCGGCCCTTGACTCAAAAAGGTTTCCCTTCCCGGGTAAAGGAAACAAAGAAGAGCTTGCTAAGCAAGCCACCAAAGTTCCAATGACTGTCACTAACAGCAAGAAGGAAATGTGGAGGAGCCAGATTGGCATGGTCACACTGTGTGCCATAAAGGCCCCACTTCAGTGGGCTCCACAGCAGACTTCACAGGTGTTGTGGAGGGAATTAATTTCCAACAACTGCACACGTGGCACGCACACACACCTAACTGGCATCGATATGAGCAATCATTCAAACTTCTGAGAATCAGTTTCCCTTCAGTTATTAATTACAGTAGAAACGGCTATTTTGCAATGACAAAAATTAGCTATTATATGATAGTACACAAAACTCAAGAAAATGGTATACTACTGCATATTCTGCTTGTCTGGCTACAGTAAATTACTTTTACGGTCTTTCAAAATGATAGTAAATTACAAACGGACAGTAGTAAGATTTTACTCCTATAGTTCTCATCTTTCGAACTTTTCTGAAAAATAGAGAGAACCATTTGCTTGTGATAGTTACAATGTGTACGTATTACATGGTTTTACTGCATAAGCAGGGTTATCCAAAAGCCAGACATGGTCAGGGGAGTTCTAAAACGTGGCCCATGTCATTTGCTGTCAAGAGAAACACGGCTCAGATGTCCAATGTAGTTAAATAACTGGAATTAAGATTAAGCATTTTATGTTGGGATTTGCAATTTGAGTATTACATGAGGATAGCTGTTAATCTGTTGCTATTTTATGCAAATTGCAGGGACCCCGCAACCAGTGAGCAGTAGTGAATATACCTAAACAAGGAATGAACTCAAGAATGGGCAATCAAGTACTTTACCTGCTTCCTTTCTCCCACGTCCTCTTCCTTTTGCCTGGACTATTACAATTTCAGTTTCTTCTTCAGTCATTTCAGAGATTTTCTGCAGAAAAAGCTTTTCTAGAGCTTCTGCCATTAAGACTATGTCATCCCCTGGCTGGATTAATAATACATAGATAAAATAAATTAGGCAAGCACACACTTTCAAAGAAAGGTTTGCATGAGATTGTTACCTAAATAAAAAGTCACATTTAGGATTTAGCTCCATCTTTTTCACCCTTTAATATAGAGTTTAGTCATAACCAAGGTACAAAATGCAACAGAACCATTTCAATACAGACACCATACACCTCAACCACTCATCCTATCTTGCATTCTACTACAGTAGTCCTCAAACTTTTGAGGGTTTTAACCACCCTTATCACACTCCCTGCCCCTACTTAACTGGGACCAGAAGTAGGGAAGGGAGGAGTGGAGGAGAGTGAAAAATAAACAGCGATAAAGGGTTGGAAATGTCTGGGGCTGCAGCTAGGACAAGTAGAGCTACAGCCAGGCTGCAATGGGGGACAGCATCTGGGTCCATGGCCAGGTGCAGCTACACTCTTTGGATTGCTCCGAGTCTTGGCCCCAGATTGGGAATGGAGCCACAGCCAGCAGCCAAGACTGGGGATGAGGCCAGGCAGAGGACATGTGGGGCTGGACCAGAGCAGAACTGGGAGAGAGTAGGAGCTGGGTGGGGTGGCCAGCCCTCCCCTGCCCCTGCCTTGTGGGACTGGCCTAGAGGAAAGTAGTGGGATGAGGGGGGAAGGAAGCGGAATAATCCCAATTTGTCAGTTTACAATGTTATGATAAGCAGGCTGCATTTTGAAAAAGCCATAGCAGGTATGTGTGTTAAGGGGGAACCTGAATGCCAATATGGCAGCCTCTCTTTGAATTTTAATCACAGAATTTTACCCACTCATTATGGACAAAAGCATAGAGCTGTTTAAAGAAGATTGTGACTGGCATGCAGCAAAAACTGGGAGGAGGGTGTTTTCTTTTATGGCAATAAAAAAAAGGGGGGGGGAGTAGAGGGCTCAAAAAGGAAAAAAAAAATCAAGAACTGAGTTTTAGCCTTCTTAAGGCTAAGATGACTGGAATTCCACAAAGATGTAAGAAAAACAAGTTGAGATACTAGACTGGATAAAAGGAGATAGTATATCAGTGGAGAGTATGTCTGTGAGTCAAGAGCATAATGACTGTAGCTAAACCATGTTTGCATATAGAATGCCCAGAGAACATTGAGGGAGAAAAAGAGAGAAAGCCTTAAAATGAAGTCTTGAGAGACAGTAACAGAAGAAACACTGAACAAGCAATGTGAGAGGAAAAGAGAACCATGAAAAGCCAATGAAGGGCAAAATGTCAAGACTTAAGGAATGGTTGATGGTGTCAGAAGTTGCCAAGGGGTCAAGGAAGAAAAGATGGAGCACAGAAACTGAGTTTTGCCCAGGGGGAAGGTCATTAGAAACTTCAATGAAGTGCAGAGGGCAGAAGCCAATTGGAAGATCAAGAACAGAACTGCAAGAAAAACTCCAAACAGCTGTTGCAGATAAAAAGTTCAATGGGTTTGGGAATGAAGACAGGAAGAAACACTAGAGCATGGTCTGAGGCCTAAACATGCTTGTATTGTGAGGGAAAATTAATGTGATGAGAGAGGATAAAAGTGGAGATGGGCGAGAGCAGATGTGAGAGGAGTTAGAAGACAAGAGGGGACAAGGAACTTCGGCTGAAAAAGGAGAGAAGGCATGAAGTCTTGGTGCCAATGATGAGGGGAAAGGAGGAAGGAAAGTATAGCGTAGTGAGGAGGATCATACCACATCTTTACACAAATCAGAAAAATCTTATGTGGGTCATTGAACTTCTTTGCTGCCCGTAGAAACTACAAGTTAATAACTCACATTAAGAGTCCCCCTCAATCCAGTTCATTGCTTCCTTGCTCTGTTACCTTGTCCAATGTTTGGTGATCTTCATCTTCTCGCTACTTCAAAATTTTACAACTTGGCCATGTCCCCCACTTCACTTTTAGAAGCATAAATCTATTATTTGCCCAATCTAGTCTCAATTATAAATATCCCACTCCCTGACACTCGAGAGATCCTTTTATTATCATTGCTGCTCTCTGAATCTTTTCCAATTCCTTGATATTCCTTCTGTGAAATGGCACACTATGCAAAGGGGAAATCTTCTAGTGCCAAAGTAAGAATACAAATGGATCCAAAGAACTACCCAACCACATGCAGTTCTTAAGTGGTGCAATGATTACAGGACATTCTCTTGGGAGGTCCAAATTCATAAAGTCATGTACCTTATTGTAGATGTAACAATTTGTAAACATTGTATTGAAGTCCTGGATACATTCTTGAGCATTCCAGTAGTAGTTATTCTCCAAGCGTTTCCTTATTGTTCCCATGTCCATAGGAGTTTTAATAATTTTATAATAATCCTGTGGAGATTAAAGAAAAAACTACCAGTTTGGAAGCTGGAAAAAAACCCAAAACTGGTACACAAAGTGCATATTTACAGGTATTACAATAGGACAAAAATGTAAATGGGTAACCGGTTAACTGGCACCTGGCCTAGCTGAAGCAGCCCCCCGCCCATAGTGCAACAGGCCGTTTAACCAATTAAACATGTAGCTTAACTGGTTAACATTTTAAACAGGATTTTAGACCCCTACAAATGCAAAGCTTTGATAAGCTTTTATGTGCCTCTTACTTGGTATCACTGAACTTTATGAATTACTCTGACCCGGGGTGCCCAACTCATGGTCCTTCAGAGCATTTCATAAGGCCAGTGACCTGTTTCAACAAAATATGCTAACGGATGATTCATTAGTGTTTTGTTATCATATTTCATCATTTTAGTATACACAAGGAAATATGCTGAATTTATTTGGCCCACACAAGACTGAGTGTAGGTTTGTGTAGCCCTCCTGTGTGTCAGCTCTAAATAAACCCCTGGAGCTTTTATATGAAAACTATAAGCTTCCACATGAGAACAATATTATCAGAATTCCTACCTATCATAAAGAATTCTTGCCTCAGTCAGCACAAATCACTTCACAATAACTTAGGCTACATAGTTAGGGTGATGTAAGTCATCTTGGGTTGATCAAGTTACAGTTGGGAAGATCTAAGTAGGATATTAGGAAAAACTATTTCACTAGGATGGTGGTGAAGCACTGGAATGGGTTACACCTAGGGAGGTGGTGGATTCTCCATCCTGAGAGGTTTTTAAGTCATTGGCTTGACAAAGCCCTGGCTGGGATGATTTAGTTGGGGTTGGTCCTGCTTTGGGCAGGGGGCTGGACTCAATTGACCTCCTGAGGTCTCTTCCAGCCCTATGATTCTATGATTCTCTATGATCTATTTGGACATAAAATGGGTTTCTGGCCAATGTTAGTGCCCTATTATGGTGACGCAGTAAAACCACCTTCCTAAATGGCACTGAGCCATACTCAATCTACAGAGGTTGGAAGTATATAGACGCTGCATGGCTTATGTCACAGACCTGAAAGTTAAAAGGGATCCTCTAGTCCAGTGGTCACCAACCAGTAGATTGGGATCTACTAGTAGATCCTGGAGCCTCTGACAGGTGATCCTGACTGGACTGGCCAGGAAGCTAGGAAGTGCTGACTCTTCAGCTGCCCCTCCCTCCACACAGTGCAGGCCACAGAACCTCACCTAACCATTCCTGAAATAGACCCTGAACCTCTGGCTGAGTGACTGAAGTCCTCAAATCATGGTTTAAAGCAGTGGCAGGCAACCTATACACCAACAAAGTGTGTGTGACTCACGAGACATTGTGTGTACCATTGCCCACAGGGTTGGCAGATTCCAATGGTTTCTGTCCAGAGAGGTTTTTTTCTACCAATATTACTAAAGTGATGCTTATATAAAGCAAGGACACATGAAGTGAAGTGCATGCTGATTGCACACAACACTGACTGTAAGAGCCTAGTGCTTTCTCTGCATCCAATCAAAGTGCTGCTACAATTCAATCAGGACACCCCACAAATTCCAGGTAAATAAGCATAGTTAGCAAAACTACCCTATTCCAGGAGACTGTCTTAGGGTACGTCTAGACTACCGCGTTTTGTCGACGGAAGTTTTGTCGACAGATACTGTCGACAAAACTTCCGTCGACAAAGAGCATCCAGACACATTGAGTTCTGTCGACAAAGCAAGCTGCTTTGTCGACAGAACTCCGTAGTCTGGACGCAATGTTACAGGCAATAACACCTTCTGTCGACAGAGTTCTGTCGACAGAAGGTGTTATGCCTCGTAAAATGAGATATACCAGCGTCGACAAAACTGCTGAGTTCTGTCGACATTATGTCGACAGAACTCAGCGGTAGTGTAGACGCTGGTATAGTTTTGTCGACAAAAGTCCACTTTTGTCGACAAAAGTAGGTAGTCTAGACACACCCTTGGTTACGAAATGAAAGAGGACCACTGAGATGAAGGAGACCACTCATGCAGTCCACCTCACTAGCCTAGGTTGCCCATCATTTGTTTAAAAACTTAAAAGTTACACAGAAATTCACCATTTACACTCATTTAAACCTGCAAGTTACCTGGGACCCGTACTGCACAGAAAGGCAAAGACCACCCTAAAAATTCCTTCCCAGTCCCAAATATCTCAATTAGTTATTCTCTGAACACGAACTACCAGGCAAAGACACATCCAGGAAAGAATTGTCTGTTGCAGCTCTCAGCCCTGGCAATCCTCTAAGAACAGTTACACAATGACCAACAGTGATTCCTCTGGTCATATTTGTGAATGACACTGTCCAAGCATCAAGATTGGAAGACACCGCTCTTACCCTTTAAAATGTCAACTTTTTTTAAATGCTTTTTCCTGATTGCCAGAGATCCTACAAATCTGTTTACTTCCAAAAAAAAGTAAAGATTCTCTGTAGAAAATGAAAAATCTGTATTTTTATGTATGGTGAAAAAATAAAAGTTATATACCATGGAATCCGGATTATCCAATCTAACTGGAACCAGAGCCAGATTGGATAATCAAAAATTCAGACTGACAGCCCCAAGTGGAGGGGCTTGGGCTGTCAGCTTAAAAATTGTAAATATTAATAAAACATGGTGTTCAACTGATACCTACATATGTGTTGTAGCTAGGGATGTTAGATATCAAGTAACTGAATAGCTGTGTAACCACATGAAATCTTAGCATTTACATAACTATTCAACAGTCTCTGGGGGCAGCAGCCAGTGCACTCCCAGCTCCACTCCTGAGGAGCCCCTACCACCCTATGCTGTTGCCTGTCTATCGGAGGTGGCAGGGGTAGCCAGTTCGTGAGGGAGCCAGTTTAAAAACCAGCTCCTTGCGCAGACTGGCTGCCTACCGCCCCGCTGCTGCCTCTGATACAGAGGCAGCAGCGCAGGGTGACAGCAGCCTCTGTCCATGGGGGGTCCAAACTCTACACAGACAGAGGCTGTTCCGCATCCCACAGACTAGCCCCTGTCTGCAGTTGAGCAGCTGCATACCACAAAGAAGCAGTGGTCCCAGGCTTGCCACAGACAGAAGCAGCCCCGTGGGATGCAGAGCAGCCTCTGTCCACAGGGTGCGTGGACCAATGCAGACAGAGGGGAGGGAGGAGGCAGCACCACGGGGCCAGTGCTGGGGGAACTGGCTTTTAAGCCAGCTTCTGCTTTCCCCCACCCTGCCCGATAGAGGCAGCAAGGGAAGGACATGTGTGTAATCAACAAGATTAACCAAAAAGCCTAGGCTTATCGGTTAATTGTATAGTTGAATACATGAGGACATCCTTAATTGTAGCTAGTGAAAAATATTCAATTTTTCCTTTTAATCATGGAAAAACATGGGTTTTGTCATTAGAGAATTTTGGGCTCTCTCATAAAAATGGATACTTGCTGATAGCCAATCATGGTAAGCAGATCTAGCTCTTTGTGGTGTACAACTGCTCAACCAAACAGACTGGTTTCTCTAGCAGCAGCCCCTGTCTTCAGGATGTTGAACAGCCTCTGCTCATGGCAAGCCTGGGCCTCCTGTGGGCAGAGAAGCCACGGGGGGGGAGGGGGGGGAGAAGTGGCACCACAGAGATAGTGCTGGGGGGGAGCCAGCTTTTAAGCCAGCTCCCCCACATACCAGCTCCTGTCCTCCCCACCCCCACATCTTGCTGCCCCTGATATAACCAGTTGACTGATTAAAGGGCAGGTGGGGAGATCTTGGAGTTATCGTGGACAGTTCTCCGAAAACTTCCACACAGTGTGCAGCGGTGGTCAAAAAGGCAAATAGGATGCTAGGAATTATTAGGAAAGGGATAGAAAATAAGACCCAGAATATCTTACTGCCCCTATATAAAACTATGGTACGCCCACATCTTGAATACTGTGTATAGATGTGGTCTCCTCACCTCAAAAAAGATATTTTGGCCTTGGAAAGGGTTCAGAAAAGGGCAACTAAAATGATTAGGGGTTTGGAACGGGTCCCATATGAGGAGAGGTTAAAGTGACTGGGACTTTTCAGTTTAGAAAAGAGACTGAGGGGGGATATGATAGAGGGCTATAAAATCATGAGTGGTGTGGAGAGGGCTGATAAAGAAAAGTTATTTATTAGTTCCCATAATAGAAGAACTAGAGGACACCAAATGAAATTAATGGGTAGCAGGTTTAAAACTAATAAAAGAAAGTTCTTCACACAGCGTGTAGTCAACCTGTGGAACTCCTTGCCAGAGGAGGCTGTGAAGGCTAGGACTATAACAGAGTTTAAAGAGAAGCTAGATAATTTCATGGAGGTTAGGTCCATAAAAGGCTATTAGCCAGGGGATAAAATGGTGTCCTTGGCCTCTGTTTGTCAGAGGCTGGAGAGGGATGGCAGGACACAAATCGCTTCATCATTGTCTTCGGTCCACCCTCTCTGGGGCACCTGGTGCTGGCCACTGTCGGTAGACAGGATACTGGGCTAGATGGACCTTTGGTCTGACCCAGTATGGCCGTTCTTATGTTCTTATACCTGGTTAGCCTTATCTATTAGCTAGCTTCCTAATGTATGTGTAGTTCCCCTTTCTGAAGTTAAATGCTCTTGTGGTAGACTTCCTCCCCAGCTCCCAAGTATGTTAAATTTAATTACATGAGGGTTACAATTACCAAGCAGTCCAACTACAGTCACCTGTTGGATCAGTTCCTGTGCTCTGGAAGAGCTAAACTGAGAACTGCCTTTCCCCTGCTCCAAAGAGGAGTAACTGAATGATGTCTAAAACTTTATCTCTCCATACCATCCTTAGGTGACATATATCCAACCAATATGGCAATACTGGAAATCCCATATTATTACTGAGATTTTTTTTTTTAAACAAACTCTCTACTCTCTTTGAGCATTTTGCTATCACCCCATCTTGGTAAGGCGGTCAGTAGTATATTTCTCCTGCAGTATTCACATGGTGCTCTCTCCAAAAGAGCTCCCAACAGCTCCCCCATCTTTTTTTTATCGTTATAGACAGATAGCATATTTTTTACAATTCCCTTCTTTCCCCCCCCATGTCTTTCAACATGGACTTGTGTAGACAGTGAAGTAATGACCATGGAGACACAAAAGAGGCTTCACAATGGTTGTAAGCCAATTAACTATGTTTACAATTAAAATATTCCCTTATAAAACTGAATATTACCAAACAGCGCTGAGAGGTACAAGAAAACAGCTGATGGAAGCCTGTAAACTCTATGAGCACTCCACTAAGGCCATGCATATTTTTCCTTCTATCAAAGCCTGTTCTAATACAAAATAGCAAGGATCAAGCAAGGAACTACACAGAATACAATGTAGTATTCTGAGTGGCAGGGAAGAGTGGAGAGCACTTAATTATCTAGTCTGGACTAGGGGAAAGGAGAGGCAGCAGTACCCTAACATACTGAACTATTCAAAATATTTATTCCTAGTGTATTTTCTGTTTGTAAATGAAAAGGAGTATTATTCTTAATTATAAATATCCCTCCCTCCCTTTAATTTGAAGGCTGGCTGAATCACTGAGCGTCCCCCTCCCTGTCCCACAGCCAAAACCACTGATTCAGTGATTTCAGAAGGCAGAAAGTATTCAAGATACAAAGGACTTCATATCTACACAGACACAAAGTGCAATCTGAGAAGCAGCAGCAATTTCTCAATCTGTACTTACAGGGAGGTTTAGCTTGACAGCATCCACAGGATGATGAAAAGGCCACGCAAACTGATGTTTCCATAGTGTCTTGAGCACCACTTTGAGCAGATACTGCAGTTGGTTGGTCTGTCGCTTGGGCTTGTTAGGGTTGGAAGTTTCTGGTGGTGGGGGGTTAGTGCCTACAGTATTGCCTTGTTGGGGTTGGGCCTGTGCCTGTGTTGTAGACATTTGTGTAGTTTCTAGTCCATCCCCCATTACTGGTAAATTTCTCAGTCTTGTCCCAGGACCACTCTCCACAGACATGCTATTGATCCCATTGCATTCCTCACTGGGCACTCTGTAAAGCAAATGAAACAGCATTAACTGCAGGACAGTTGAAAGGGGACAGTTTTCATTACTAACTAAATATTGCTTAAGTACAAACCAGGAGATACAGTGCATGGCTAGATGAGTATGCACACTAAATAAACTGCATACTTCAAATTTACTGAGAATTATTGGGTACGCTTCTTATAGCCTGCAACCGTTACAGAAAAGCTTGTTCAGTAGCAGGTATCAGCCAAATGACTAGTCATATTCCTAGATTCTAAGGCTGAAAAGTATGTCCTGGGTCATTCAGTCTACTAATGCCCCTCTTTTCCCAAATATACCTAGCCATTTTCTTCTGTCTCCTTATAGGATTGGATATACCTTCTATTGTATTTGTCCATTTTAGAGCAAGTTCCCCCCTCTCCCCCGCAAAAAGCCCAGAAAGAAATAAAATCTCTCAGTATGAGTAGTCTTATTAAAGTGTAAACAGAAATCATCTCCTTCTTGGTTTCTCATAAATGAAAGCCAAATTAGTGTGGCATTGTTAACAGCAACACCGTTAATGTTTAATTGCCTTTGCCTCCTAAATCCTTTCACTTTCTATGAAGAGCACAAACCTTAACTATCAGACTTAAGTGCCTCCTTATAAGGCTCTAGCACAGCAATTATCCAACTTCATTGTACTGTGACCATGTTCTGACAACAAAAATTACTACACGACCCCAAGAGGGGAGGACTGAAGACTAAGCCCAAAATACCCTGGGTGAGGTGGCCAAAGATGAGGCCCAAGGACTTCTACTCTGGGTGGGGGGAGGGGGAGGGAAATGTACCATTAGCCCTGGGCAGTGGGGTTTGGACTTTGGCTTTAGACTTCCTGGGGCCCAGGGTCAACACAAGCCTTGGCAACCTCATTAAAATGGGGCCCCAACCCACAGGAGAACCCCATTCTAGCTTATGAAAATAGCTTTATATTTCAATAAGCTATACTGAAAATATCAATCTTAGACAGGAATTAGCGAACATGGAAATTAAATATAATTGCAAACTTTTTCTAATTTAAGCAAATCATGAGTCATAGCTAACAATTTCTGTGAAGTGTTTCAGTCATACTATTCAGCACTAATCATTTAAATCTGCCTACGTGTATCTTCTTTGCTAATTCACATATAACACTGAGAAACATAGTTCAAACTTGAGACATACACAGAAATTAATAACAGACACTATTATACACCACTGTTATCTCATCAAAATGAGTCTCTCAAAATATAAGTTTTTCTAATTCACCAAAACTGCTTTCATATAACACCAAAGGAACCTGTCAGACAAAGCACTACTCTTAAACAACTTTGCCATACCCCAGCCAGTTCTGTGCTTACTCAGTTGGAATAGAAGCAGTGGCCTCTTCCCAGAGCTCCTCTCCTTCTCTCTAAAACCTTGGAAAGTAATGTTACCACATACAGGTATACAAGCACATACAGCAGTGGTTACCAACCAGTAGATCGGAATCTACCAGTAGATTTTGGAGCCTCAGACAAATGATCCTGACTGGTTTGGCCAGGAAGCTATCAAGCACCAGCACTTCAATTGCCCCTCCCTCCACTGTCAGGCTGTTCCTGCACTCTCCTCTGCCTTGGAGCTGCCCCCAGGGAGCCTCTTGCTTGCTGTGCATGGTGTGCGAGGGAGATAGGGCGGCGAGGGGGCGCTGATGTCCAAGTGTCCCTCCTCCTCCTATTCCTGTACCCCATCTCCACACAGAGAGAAGGGGGTGGAAGGAGCTTGGCAATGCAAATCTATCACTCTCACACACTGTGTGTGTCTGTCATTTTCACAAACACACACAGTCATTCCCTCTCATCTTCTGACCCAACACATACATGGGGGCTTCTTGTTACTACTTTTACTGCTTGCAAAGTGTGTTATTTTGGGTTTTGACTAAGGATGTTAAAGACTTGTCGACTATCCAATAAGCATTTGCTTATCAGATAGTCTTTTGAATAGTTGAATAGTCAATGTACATTTCAGAGGAGGAATGCGGAACTCTATGTACAGCCCAGGGCCAGCGGGAAGTCCCACTGACACTGGGCTGCACGCAGGTGCCTTCTTTGAAATGTATTTCAAAGCCATGGAGCCCTGGGGACTCCCACAGCACTTCCTGGGGAGCCCTGAGTCAGCTGGGAAGACCCCAGGATCTCCGCAGCAGCCCCTTTGAATTGTGCAGATGTGTGGCTCAAAGGAACAGCTGCTGTCCGTGGATCAGCTGTTCAGCAGCTGCTGTCCCTTTAAACCATGCATCCACAGGATTCAAAGGGGCAGCTGTCCCCAGCCTCCCAAAGCATTTCCTCAGAACCCGGGGGTCAGCTGGGAAGTCAATTAACCGCATTTTAACATCCTTAGTTTTGACTGGTCTGTACATTTCATAATTTTCATTTCTCTCTTACGCGTAAATTTAATTCTTTTAGTAGTGAGTTCTAAAACGCCTAACCTGTCATGGCTGGAGTCATTATCCCTATGGTACAGGCAGTCCCCGGGTTACGTACAGGATAGGGACTGTAGGTTTGTTCTTAAGTTGAATCTGTATGTAAGTCGGAACTGGCGTCCAGACTCAGCCGCTGCTGAAACTGACCGCCAGTTCTGACTTACATACAGATTCAACTTAAGAACCCCAAGCTTCCCCAAGTCAGCTGCTGCTGAAACTGATGAGCGCTGATTCCAGGAAACCTGGGGCAGAGCAACTCTGCCTCGGGCTTCCTGTAGTCAGCGCTGGTCAGTTTCAGCAGCAGCTGACTTGGGGACGCCTGGGGCAGAGCA